GCTTCAACATAATGAAGCTCGCATCTTGGAATATTTGGGGGATGAATTCACCCCTAAAACAAAATGGGATTCGAGAATTTATCAAACATCATTACATTAATATTATGGGTATTTTGGAGACGAAGTTGGTTGATCGAAAATTGAAGAGAATTTTGCGGAATAAATTCGATGGCTTCATGCATGTAAACAATTTTTGCACTCATAGAGCTGGACGGGTCTTGATTTTGTGGAATCCATCCAAAGTGTTTTTGGATGTGATGGAGGTTCATCCACAAATTATTCATTGTAAAGCTACTTGAAAGGTAACATCTTATACCTTTCTTATTAGTTTTGTTTATGGATTTCATACTTTGGTTAACCGACGGCCACTTTGGAATAACATTAGGGAGTTCAACACTAAAGTTTCGTTGCCTTAGATGATTTTTGGTGACTACAACAATGTTCTCAAATTTGATGAGAAATGTAATGGGGCGGACGTTACTCCTTATGAAATTAAGGATTTTACTAATTGTGTCTTCATGTGGGTCTTACGGATGTGCGCTCCATTAGTTGTTACTACACGTGGACTAATAACTCAGTTTGGAGCAAAATTGATAGGTCAATGGTAAATGATATTTGGGTGCAAAATGGGGTATATGTTGATGCAAATTTTCTACCTTCCAGATGCCTTTCCGACCACTCCCTTTGCATTGTCCTGTTCATGACCGTGTTGGGGGCGCTAAAAAACCTTTCGAGTTTTTCAACGTAAGGACTTTTATGATCTTATTCAAACTTTTTGGAAGTTTAATGTGAGGGGGGGCAAAGCAATTTATTCTTTGCAAGAAGTTGAGCAAACTAAAGGGAGTTTTAAAGGAGCATTTTGGGCAGATTTCTACTAGGGAAAATGAGGCTAAAAATGATTTGGAGGCTGCCCATTTACAACTACATAATCAGCCCATGAGTGAAAATCTTCAACTTATGGTTGCTAAATTCAGGAAGAAAGTCGTTGATTTATGTGAAGCAAAACGTAGTTTTTATTATCAAAAGACAAAATGCATCTTCCTTAAGCAAAGTGATAAATGTACAAAGTTATTTCACTCAGTGGTTAAAAGGAACTCAAGGAGGAATTTTATTGCTACTATACTCAAAGAGGATGGGATGAATACTACATCACAAGATCAAGTTACTACGGAATTTGTAAAATTTTACGCTACTTTGCTGGGAAAAAACTGCCAACTCTGCCTATTGAGATGCAAATTGTTACAAACGGTCCCTTGGTTTCATTGTAACAAGTTAACTCTTTGATTCTGGACATTTCTTATAAGGAGTTCAAAGAAGCACGTTTTGATATTGGAGATGATAAGTCTCTCAGGCTGGATGGTTATACTTGATTTGGTGCCTAAATCAACTACGCGGTCCTTGATTTGGTGCCTAAATCTGGTCACACTCCGCATGTTG